TTAATTAAAGAATAAAACGAATCCATGAGTACTGCATACCAAATACTCATCTAAGATTCGAGTAACCACCTGCAAGATTGAACTCGATCGATTTCTTAAGGTTTGATCTCTGTATCATCCCATGATAAATTGATAAGATCAGCTGAAGTTAAAAAATCAATATCATTCCAATAGTAATTTGGCAAGTCCATGGCGGTGTGTGTACTTGGATCTCCCCATGGAAATTCTATGACAGTACTGCTTGTGCTCGGATTGACTGTTGTAATTGTTGATTCCTCCACCGCGTCGAGGCAGTTTCCGGCGGGGATTAATAAAGATGAGAATTGAAATTCTGGGTTTTGATCCTTTGTTGCTGATCCATTTTTTCCAGTGAAAGAGTTCCCTGAAAAGCTGCTAATGTTATCGGCGGTACCAAAAGCACCAAAGGGAAGAATAGATGAGGTGGTGGGGTTGGTAGTGGGATTTGTGGTGGCTGCGCCGCTGGCTGTGGTGGTGGAACTTGCATTTGATGTCTTGAGCCGTTTGTTTTTCCGGCCACCGCCGACAGGCACATTACGTAGAGTGCCACCTTTAGTCCAGTGCCTCTTACAAGCTTTACAGAAATGGCGAGGTTGAGATTTGTTGTAATTATTGTAATAACAGAACTTTGTGTTCGTTGAGTCACACCTTGGACACTTTAAAAGCTCTGATTGTTGGTGGCTCCGCCGTGTAGGTGGCGGCGGTTTTGGCAGCTCTGCCCCGTCTGATTGCACCAAACTTTGGGTCCAACTACTTACGCCCATAACAGAATTCAAATTTTAAAAAAGAAAAAGATGATATATGAACAAGATAACGAAGGGATCAAACAAAGACGTACGAGGAGAATTTAATTCTCTTATAAGAGAATGTAAAATGTTTTAATGTCGGAGATTATATCTATAGCTATATCTATATATCTATCTGTTATGACAACGACAATCACTCAAGGCTGTAATGTATGGTCCAGAGGGAGAGGCTGTCATTTATATAAAATAATTGCCACTTTGTTTCCCTCCCTCTTTATAATTATATATGAATGTATCTACAGTGCATGGAAGAATATATGTAAGTAAGATTTTTAAATAATTTGATTTATTGGGCGGGGTTCTAATTTAGGAAAAATTGCAGTCAAGGTATCAAATATTTCGTTTATTAGTAGATTTTGTCTAAACATTTTATTTGTGCCACCGTACGTACGAAACTTTTAAAAAAATCGTAGTTTAAGTCCATATTGATGGTTTCTATCAGTTTGACCCTAAAAATTGTCAGTTGACTTCAAAAATTAAAAATATAATAATTTTGACCAAATAAGGCAAGGATAAAATTGTAACTCTATAATTTTAATTTTAAAAAAATTAAAAAGGGCAAAAAAAAATCGTCTCATCCTCCATCTTCCCCAATCCTCTCCCTCAAAAGTCACAATCACTCGTCGCCCAGTTGCCGCCCGCCAGCACAACCCCAGGTCTTACCTAATTTTCTAACAATGGCCAAAACTTCAGTTTTTCTCCTTCTCCTTCTTTTCCTAGTTGCAACACAAGTTAACACCCTAGGAAGAATTGTGGGAGGCAAAGGTGAAGAATGTGAAAACCAATAAGTGCAAAATCTGGGCAATTACTACGTGAACCATACAATAGTAAGCAGAAACACAGTGCAAATGACTGAAAACTTCTCACGTTTTCACAGGTGGTGGAAGCGGAGAAGCAAGTAGTTTTCGGGATCAAGAATTATCTCAAGATCTTTGCCGCCATTTATGGGGGTCGGAGTTCCCAAGAATTTCGATGTGGTTGTCGTGGTCAAGCCGTCTGAATTTATTTTGGATTAAGCTAGACGTACAGATGAGGACTTACAGAATCTCTACAGAATTTTAAAATTTGGTCACGTGTCAGTGTGTGGGTTCAAGGAAAAGGAAATGACTGCTGGCGAAAAAGGCACGGAAATGTTGGCTTGGAGGAAATTATCTAATAAATTCATCAAATTACTTATGATTTTTGTCTTCGTTTTCGGACTCATTACGAGTTATCAAATGAACTCGAAATGTTAAATTCTTAATATCATTTTAAAGTACTCACGGCCTAGTATTTGACATAGTTAATGGTACGCGAAACGGCCAATCGTAACAAATGTTACGGCTCGTCAAAGTAGGCTACTTCAAACTAATATTTCGAGAATTTCGATAATAAGCTAACTTTGAAAATTTTTCTACGATTGTACGCTAGTTGAATCCATAAATCTTCTATATCTTCTTGAAACTCATTTCGAGAACTATATCATAGACTTATCGAATGATCTAAATGAATAACGAAAATAGTTAAACGTACGTCAAACGTGTATGTCAAAAAAACGTATATTTCGTCTTTTTTAAGAAAAAATCAATTATTTTATTAATGTTTATTATTTTTGCTTGACAAATTTCTCAATATAATTTACATTATTTTTTTAGCAAATTTTATATATGATATGACATCAATTTTTTTTGGACGTATTTTGAGCACGACTTTTTCTTGTCCAAGTGTATCTTGTCTTTACCACGAATCATTTTCCTTAGTTAACAATAATTGTTATGTTGTCAATATCTGGGTTCCTTAATTTTCTTTCTTCCATATAAGAGGAAATAAGGTAATTCGTTGGTATACTATATGTATATCACAGACCAAGAATACGAGATCACCCCTTGTCCAAAAAAAAAATTAAAAATTGACATCATACCATATATAAAATTTACTAATAAAATGATGTAAATTATATTGAGAAATTTTTCGAGCAAAAATAATAAATATTAATAAAATAACTGATTTTTTTCTTAAAAAAGACGAGATATACGTTTTTTTGGCACACACGTTTGACGTACGTTTAACTATTTTCGTTATTCATTTAGATCATTCGATGAGTCTATGATATAGTTCTCGAAATGAGCTTCAAGAAGATCTAGAAGATTTATGGATTCGACTAGCGTACAATCGTAGAAATTTTTTTAAAGTTAGCTTGTTATTGAAATTCTCGAAATATTAGTTTAGAGTAGCCTATTTTGACGAGCCGTAACGTTTGATACGATTGACCATTTCATGGACCATTAACTATGTGAAATACTAGGCCATGAGTACTTTCAAATGATATTAAGAATTTAATATTTCGATTTCGTTTGATATCCCGTAATGAGTTCGAAAATGAAGACAAAAACCATAAGTAATTTGATAAATTTATTTGATAATTCCCTCCAAGCCAGCAGTTCCTTGCCTTTTCCGCCAGCCATCATATCCTTTTCCGTTCACCCACACACTGACACGTGACCAAATTTTGAAATTCTGTAGAGGTTCTGTAAGTCCTCTTCTGTACGTGTAGCTTCATCTTTTTCTTCCCATGTGTAATGGTATGGAATAAATAATAAATTGTTGTTCATTGTGTACCTAAAATCTTCAGTGAAATATGGTGAAGAGGATTTTACCCTTGTCTTATTTGGTCAAAATTATTATATTTTTAATTTTTGAAGTCAATTGAAGGTTTTTGGGGTCAAACTAACAAAAATCGTCAATATGGAATTGAACTGCGAATTTTTTTAAGGGTTTGATGCCTACAGTGGCACAAATGAAAGGTTTGGACAAAATTTGCTAATAAATGAAATGTTTGATATCTTGATTGCAATTTTCCCTATAATTTATTTTCATGTAACACGACCGGCACGTGATTGATGATAAATGAAAGGGGTTGTTTGATAAAATTTTAGCAAATTTTGATAAAAGTATTAGATTAGTTGATAGAAATTGTGAATTTCATTAGGCCTGGTTATTATTATTTTTTTTCCACATTTTTCCAAAAAAACAATTTTACATGTAAACTTAAAATCCTTATTTTTTAACCACATTTTCTAAAAAGTTACTATTCAAAAACACATTTTACCCCAAAAATGAGTCTTAAACAGAAATTAAATGTGCAAGTAAAATTAATTATTAACGTTGAACCCATTTATCGGCCGATTGAAAGTGGAAATCACTGCTGCTAATATGAAGCCAAACGAATAGATTATATAATTATTTTAAAATAAATATATGGAGGAGAATGGGAGTGAAGTACTACGATCCATGGTCTTATTCGGATGGGTATGCATATGTTTGGTCGGTGTAATGTCTGCTATTGATTGGAAATCCTAATAGAGTTAAAATAAAGGCGGTGTAAGTAAAGATTGCTAATAATAATAAAATTAGAAATTTTTAGTTGATTCTAGGGTGAATTACAGTTGTCAACAAGTGATTCCTAGTGATTAAAGATTGTGATCATCATATGGGCCAATCCCTGTCATATATTACATGTAATCACATGATGTTCAACTTCTTGTGTTCACTGGCTAGGATCATGTTTGCGTTTGCGTTTGCGTTTGCGTTTGCGTTTTTATTCTACTCTAGCCTCTAGGGAGAAGCCACATGTTGGTTTCTTTTGTAGAGAAAAGTTTAAGTAAAGATGCATAGCCAAACATGCTCATTGGCCATGTGATGCTATAACTTGATGTGTTGGCACTGAGTATGTAATTGAATAGTCTCTCATCTTATGTCTTAGCTGATTACTCTTGTTTATTGTCATTGTCAAAGGTCTTGTTTAGTGGGAGAGAAGTATTGCACCATGCTTCTTGTAGGTTGTAAGGATGATTGGTCGAACTCGTACCCCGCCATTAGTTGTTATACTAGTGTTGAGCTCAGGACAATAATTGAGGAGCACGCAACATGTGATGTTGAAATTGTCAACTTCTTTGTCTAGATGGGCATCATCTCATCGGATAATTTCGTGAAGATGGAATCACCATAGCTAAGCCCTTATTCACCAGATTTGTGCTTCAACGAGGACGAAGACTCAATAGCAATACATGTAGTTGGACAAATAGACTTCTTGACTCAACTCATATCTCAATATTAGTGCAGGGTATGACTACACCCACTCAGTCATTGAGCTGGTAGGGATTGGACTAATCTTCTCAATGGAATCCTAATTGAATCGTATGATCGTCGTGGACAAAGGCATAATCAAAACAATGTTATAACTTCATTTTCTTCTTTAATCACGTCATATCATCTGAGTATATACGCATTAAGACTAACAAATTCAATTTCGACTTTCGTCAATCTTATTCAATCGTATGCAACGTTACGTATCATACATAAACCATTTTTTTAGTTGAATATGATCTATGAAGGACATAGAAACCCAACAAGTGTCACGTTCATTGTCACTGGTCATTTCTTGAATGCTCATCAACGGTGCATGGAGGCCTAGCATGTGGCTACAAGAGTCGGCATCATAGTCTCCACAAGAATCATTATGATTACAGGGACAATGTTGATATAATTATACAAAACAATTTCATGAAAAGATGGCTTCACGGATTTATACAATATAAAGAAATCTACAAATGTCACGTCAAAAAGTCATCGAGCAATTAATCAAAAGGAACATCATTGTTCTCAATAGCATCAATGAATTTCACAAGTAATAACCTAAATTTTGGTACTTTTAACTGATATGTAAAGAATGAATATTGAGTGGCCATATTGTTCTAGCCGAAGGTCTTTATCATTAAATACCTCTATACAATTGGTATTTTAGGCTTCATTAAAATGTTTAGAAATAATATTATCAAGAAATGTGTCGATAAGCGGTAAGATTGAACTCTCGAATAGAAAAATTTTATAACTATTACTATTATAAAATCAAAGAAGCGATCTTATACTTTTTATCACACTCTCTATTTCTCCACATGGAACAAAGAGAAAAATTAAGCTGATATTCTATGGAATAAACGATTTGTTCTTCACATTCGTGATCAAGTGTGTTATTTTATATTTTTGCAAAGAATCGATGAATATTTGATTCCTATAATTTCCCGCTTCCGGTTGCATGAGTGTGTCGGCCGAGTAAAGTTGCTTTTAGTAATTATTTTATTTCATTTATATATAAGTAGGGCAGCTTAATAATTAAGTGACCGTATTCCAGTTTGTTACTGTATTAATTAAAGTCTTAATTTATGCTAATTTACTGACTCGTACACGTGCGTTCATAATTTGTTGGCTCCTTTCTGTTGCCGGCGGATGAAGCTGCCTTTCGTTTACCATCATTTTCTATCGAAAATTTATTTTAGATTAATTAGAAGAAATTGTTTGGTATGCACTCAAATAATNCTGCCTTTCGTTTACCATCATTTTCTATCGAAAATTTATTTTAGATTAATTAGAAGAAATTGTTTGGTATGCACTCAAATAATGGTGCACGTGTAAGATTCACACGCCCTACTTAAATTAATAGTATTTTTATATGTTAAATCAAGAATGAGGATCACATTGCATAATTTGATAGCGAGAATAAAAATATATATGGATCAGTATGGTATTATACGCGTTTATTATAAGGTTTACGAATAATAATCAAGTGTCGAGTGAACCAAGAAAGGTCGTAAAGAAAGAGGTCTATCAAAGTAAAGTAATTTCTACTACAAAATATAGATTAAAGGACTAGCAAAAAATAAATTTCTAAAATGAGGGTGTAACTGAAAAAAAAAGGAATAATCCCAAACGTGGCAAACGTAAATGGGGCCTTATAGATGTTGGGCTTAACCCGCCTTGAGAGTAAGAGTGGAAAAATTGACACATATAGCACTGAACTTGACAAGTGACCGATATGTTCCTCTTTTTTTTTTTTCATTTTTGTTTTACCAGTTTCACCGCTTGACTCATTTCATAGTCCAAATTATTAACTCGGTGGAGTCAAGCTTCTTCTTCAAGATCGTCGATAATGGACGAAATTGAACACAACTACGTCGAAGTGAACGGGCTAAAGCTTCACGTTGCCGAAATCGGAAGTGAATCGTCGCCGGTAGTGGTGTTTCTGCACGGATTTCCCGAAATATGGTACTCTTGGCGCCACCAGATGATTGCAGTTGCCAAGGCTGGTTTCAGAGCAATCGCACCAGATTGTAGAGGGTACGGGTTGTCTGATCCTCCACCCCAACCCGAGAAGACCGTCTTTTTGGATCTGATATTTGACCTTCTTGCAATTCTTGATGCTCTTAACATCTCCAAGGTATGTGATCCTTTGTTGATAATTGTGTTTTGGCTCTTATTTTTCAAAATTGGGGTTCCTCTGAAATTGCCTTAATGTTCAATCATTTATCTTCAAATATTAATTTGCAGGTTTTTCTGGTTGGCAAAGATTTTGGAGCTTCCGTTGTTTCGATATTTGTCCTCCTCCATCAGGAGAGAGTTTCAGGGTTCGTGACATTAGGCATGCCATTTATGCCTCCACAACCTCCCACACATCATAAGCCCCTTCCTGAAGGCTTCTATTTTCTCAGATGGAAGGTCCTCTTTCTTCCTCGGGATACCCAGATTTGGCGCTTCCAACTCTATCAGCAAATTACTGATAGATTTTTCTTGCAGGAGCCTGGACGTGCTGAAGCTGATTTTGGTCGATATGATGCTAAAACGGTAGTGAGGAATATTTACATCATGTTCTCCAGAAGCGAAATTCCAATAGCTCAAGAGAACCAGGAGATCATGGACTTGGTAGAACCCTCTACTCCTCTACCCTCTTGGTTCTCTGAGGAAGATCTTGCCGCCTATGGAACCTTGTACGAGAAATCTGGATTTCAAACTGCACTGCAAGTTACTTATAGGTAACCTGAAGGTTTGTACATAAAAAATACTGTGGTCTTATGTCATTCTTTAGAAAAATAAAGAACGGGTTTGCACCTTGGCCGAAAACAGATAACTTTCTTGTCGAAGGTAACCCTTCAGGTTTACGTGTTTATTTTTTTCTGTTATAGGGCGCCTTTTGATCGGAATGGGGAACAGGATAGTATACCGAATCCAAAAGTTGAAGTTCCAGCTCTTCTAATAATGGGCGAGAAGGATTATGTTTTCAAGATGCCGGGAAGGGAAGACTACGTAAGGAGCGGAGAGGTGAAAACATTTGTACCCAATTTGGAGATAATCTACATACCAGAAGGAACTCATTTTGTTCAAGAGCAATTCCCTGACCAGGTGAACCAGCTAATCCTTAATTTCCTCAAAGGCCATGGTTGATCATTTCTCTTCAACAAGCCCTTTGTTTGTGTAAACATTCTACTATATAAATGGGAATTTGTATTATTGAGTTTGATTAGAGACACTGGGGTCTCGTGTTTTGTTGTAGAGTCTGCTTGCTGTACAAGCCCTGTGAAACAAAATCCTCACAATGCATGGGTGGGGTGTGGGGGAATATATTTATAAATAATCAGCCACCCCTCCATGCGAGGATTCTGTATAGGCCTGTACATCAGGCAAAATTCTTTGTTAAACTAAATAGTTTGATGCATGACCAACCATTATTTTGTTTTACCCCTTTATTTCAATTGGCTAGCTCGGTCGAAATCCGTTAAAAAACCTAGCAAATAGTGACTTCAATCAAATTAAGCCCCTCTTGAAATTAAAATCCAATTTTTAACAAATTTAAAGAAATGT